TCACTCAGAACACAACAGGCCAATCAGAAGAGAGGCTCATGAATATTAATTAGACAGGCCAAAATCGACCTGTTCTCAGCAGAGCTCCTGAGAGAGGAGCTGTAAACATCTATTGAGATGGTTTTTGGTTCTTATACCGCAAATATATATTCTTAAGGACATCAAGACTTAAAATAAAACTCCAGAAAGGTGTACAATATGGGACCTTTAATTTAATTTAATTATGTTATTTTATTTTAGTATTTTGCTGTGGTTTGCTGGTTTTACGTTGCTTTATTTTATTTTATTTTTTGTTGAGGTTTGCTGGTTTTGGGCACATGGTGTTTTATTTTGAATGATTTATTTAGTTATTTTTATTGTGACGAGCAAATCAAAAGGTGAAGATTGGACTGCGGCTGAGCTATTGATATCTGGGGTCCGCTGAGAGACGTGCCGGAGCTTTATATTACTCTGAGCCGCTGCTGAGACTCATTTCACTCGCGTTTAGACGCGCCGCTAACAAACACAGGGTTTGGTGGCGAGGAAATCAGTTGATTTTGCGTGGCGAGTGTTAATAATGATCGACAGGCGCAGCTGAAGCGTGTTTGAGCACCACTGCATTATTCATGAAAGAAAACACGTTTATCTGCGGTGTTTTCAAACATCAGAATCACAGACCGAGCAGAGCATTGTGGGTAATGTATCTGTAGAAATTCCCATAATGCACTGCAGTGAGAAATAAAATCATCCAAGATGGTCCTCAAAGTAAAAGTAATGTTGATAAATATATGTGTAATTCATTTACTGACAAGAATAATTAAAATAGTTTTATTTCTAATTAAAGTAAATGATTTATTATCAAGTACTTTAGTAATTAAATAATATATTTTAAAACTATTATATTATTAATAATAAAAATGGTAATAAATGTATTTGTTAAAAATTGAAATAAATCAAAACAATGTATTAATGATAAATAAATAAATATATTTAAAAGCATTATTATTATTTTTATTACTATTTAATAATGAATTGTTCTATATAATTTGAAATCAATATTTTTTTATTATATAAGTTTAATAATGAAATAATAAATAATGAAAAATATTAAATATATGTTTAAAACACTTATTATTATTATAATTTGTAATAATAATAAAAATAATAAATTTTTAAATTTAATTTGAAAGCAATACAACAATTTATTATTAAATACGTTTAATAATGAAATAATTAATAATGAAAAACAATAAATGTTTGAAATAATAAATGGTTTTATTTAATTTTAAACAAAATAAAAAAAATTATTATTAAATGAATTATTTGATCATAAAAATAAATAAAACTGATTTTAAAACTTTTAAAAAAAATCATCACCATTGCAAGGATTGCTAAAGTCAACAGATTTTACTAATAGAGCTACCAATTTCTGTGTAAAAATAAAATAATGATGCTACCATCTTTCTTAAGTCATTTTATTCCCCTGTAATTTGGCTCTGTGACATTTCATATTTTGGGTTTTATCACTATATATGTTACAAAATCAAAAATGTTAGCCGAGAAGTTTCTGAAATTTGGTTGATTTGACTCTGAGTGACCAATATGTAATTTATATCTAATTAAGAATGTTGTATTTGAGCCATTCCTTGTGTGCAGTGTGTTTTTCTGCTTGTTAGGATACTCTGTGTTGTGTTCTGTTCAGAGTCAGTGTCTCACGTCCCTCTTTCCTCTCTCTCTCTCGGTCCAGCACACAGATCTGTGTCAGTACATGGACAAACATCCCGGCGGCCTCCATCCGGACAACGTCAGGGTGAGTGAGACACCGCTCTCTGTTTGAACTGCTCTTGTGAGGGATTTCATGGTGAAATGGCTCTGCTCATGCATGCTTCACCAGAGAATCCAAAAAGTCTTCTTGAAGCGTCTGATGCATATTGAGCACAAAACAGCAAGCTCCATTCTGATTGGCAAGCTTTATGCAACAGGTTTTTATATTTGTGATAATATAAATGAAACATGCTCTGAAATATATGTGAATAGGCTGGAAAATATATATTATTTTATTTTATTTTAGATTCAGTATCATATCATTTTTATTTTATTCTATTCTATTCTATTTTATTTCATTTTATTATATTTATTATATTTTATTCTATTCTATTTCATTTCATTTGATTATTTTCTATTTCATTTTATTTATTTTTGTATCATATCATTCTATTTTATTTTTATTCTATTCTATTTTATTTCATTTTAATTTATTTCATTTCTATTTTTTATTCTATTTATTCTATTCTTATTATATTATATTTTATTCTATTCTATTCTATTTCATGTCATTTCATTTGATTTTATTCTATTTTATTCTTTTCTATTTAATTTAATTTAATTTTTTATTCTATTCTATTCTATCATTTTAGTCTATTTTATTCTATTTTATGTTATTCTATTCTATTTCATTTCATTTTAATTTATTTCATTCAATTTTTTTATTCAATTCTATTTTATTCTATTCTATTTGTGCGCTGCAAACGCGAGCATTTTTGACGATCGTTTCTGTCCAGTCTGCTCGTTTTATCGTGTTTAACCACAGCTGTCGTCGGTTTTTTGTCTGGCAGTGGCAGCAGATATGCGATCAAATTTGTCATTTGAGGCTGTATTACGTCGATTCTGGCACCCAACATCACAATAAGATGATATTTTAAGCTCCTTATGTAGCCGAATCTGCGCTGGTTTGAATGGGTCGCCTCCAGTTTCCGTTTTGTTTTGCTGCCTCCAGCTAGCGCTGTGAACGTCGCTGACCCTAGTTACCTGTGGTTGGCCTGTCCGTGCGTCACTCAGAACACAACAGGCCAATCAGAAGAGAGGCTCATGAATATTAATTAGACAGGCCAAAATCGACCTGTTCTCAGCAGAGCTCCTGAGAGAGGAGCTGTAAAAATATATTGAGATGGTTTTTGGTACTTATACCGCAAATATATATTCTTAAGGACATCAAGACTTAAAATAAAACTCCAGAAAGGTGTACAATATGGGACCTTTAATTTAATTTAATTATGTTATTTTATTTTAGTATTTTGCTGTGGTTTGCTGGTTTTACGTTGCTTTATTTTATTTTATTTTTTGTTGAGGTTTGCTGGTTTTGGGCACATGGTGTTTTATTTTGAATGATTTATTTAGTTATTTTTATTGTGACGAGCAAATCAAAAGGTGAAGATTGGACTGCGGCTGAGCTATTGATATCTGGGGTCCGCTGAGAGACGTGCCGGAGCTTTATATTACTCTGAGCCGCTGCTGAGACTCATTTCACTCGCGTTTAGACGCGCCGCTAACAAACACAGGGTTTGGTGGCGAGGAAATCAGTTGATTTTGCGTGGCGAGTGTTAATAATGATCGACAGGCGCAGCTGAAGCGTGTTTGAGCACCACTGCATTATTCATGAAAGAAAACACGTTTATCTGCGGTGTTTTCAAACATCAGAATCACAGACCGAGCAGAGCATTGTGGGTAATGTATCTGTAGAAATTCCCATAATGCACTGCAGTGAGAAATAAAATCATCCAAGATGGTCCTCAAAGTAAAAGTAATGTTGATAAATATATGTGTAATTCATTTACTGACAAGAATAATTAAAATAGTTTTATTTCTAATTAAAGTAAATGATTTATTATCAAGTACTTTAGTAATTAAATAATATATTTTAAAACTATTATATTATTAATAATAAAAATGGTAATAAATGTATTTGTTAAAAATTGAAATAAATCAAAACAATGTATTAATGATAAATAAATAAATATATTTAAAAGCATTATTATTATTTTTATTACTATTTAATAATGAATTGTTCTATATAATTTGAAATCAATATTTTTTTATTATATAAGTTTAATAATGAAATAATAAATAATGAAAAATATTAAATATATGTTTAAAACACTTATTATTATTATAATTTGTAATAATAATAAAAATAATAAATTTTTAAATTTAATTTGAAAGCAATACAACAATTTATTATTAAATACGTTTAATAATGAAATAATTAATAATGAAAAACAATAAATGTTTGAAATAATAAATGGTTTTATTTAATTTTAAACAAAATAAAAAAAATTATTATTAAATGAATTATTTGATCATAAAAATAAATAAAACTGATTTTAAAACTTTTAAAAAAAATCATCACCATTGCAAGGATTGCTAAAGTCAACAGATTTTACTAATAGAGCTACCAATTTCTGTGTAAAAATAAAATAATGATGCTACCATCTTTCTTAAGTCATTTTATTCCCCTGTAATTTGGCTCTGTGACATTTCATATTTTGGGTTTTATCACTATATATGTTACAAAATCAAAAATGTTAGCCGAGAAGTTTCTGAAATTTGGTTGATTTGACTCTGAGTGACCAATATGTAATTTATATCTAATTAAGAATGTTGTATTTGAGCCATTCCTTGTGTGCAGTGTGTTTTTCTGCTTGTTAGGATACTCTGTGTTGTGTTCTGTTCAGAGTCAGTGTCTCACGTCCCTCTTTCCTCTCTCTCTCTCGGTCCAGCACACAGATCTGTGTCAGTACATGGACAAACATCCCGGCGGCCTCCATCCGGACAACGTCAGGGTGAGTGAGACACCGCTCTCTGTTTGAACTGCTCTTGTGAGGGATTTCATGGTGAAATGGCTCTGCTCATGCATGCTTCACCAGAGAATCCAAAAAGTCTTCTTGAAGCGTCTGATGCATATTGAGCACAAAACAGCAAGCTCCATTCTGATTGGCAAGCTTTATGCAACAGGTTTTTATATTTGTGATAATATAAATGAAACATGCTCTGAAATGTATATGGATAGGCTGGAAAATATATATTATTTTATTTTATTTTAGATTCAGTATCATATCATTTTTATTTTATTCTATTCTATTCTATTTTATTTCATTTTATTATATTTATTATATTTTATTCTATTCTATTTCATTTCATTTGATTATTTTCTATTTCATTTTATTTATTTTTGTTCTA